TCCAGTATAAAATATGACGATGCTGATGATGAAAAAACATGCGTAAACGATAATTTACAGAAACAGGAAACAGAAGAATATATAGTTCATAGTAATAATATTAAACTGGTTAAATTAATAATAATATTAAACTGGGAATATAACAATAAAGTTTGTTCAGATTAAATATATACAAAATTATATAATTTATACAAAATTATATAATTTTATATATTTAAATAATTATATATTTATTTTATGAGTTAAATTTAATTTACAATTGTATAATTCATTTCTTCTTCATAACTTAATACAAGCTATTTAGTTTTTGTTTGAATTAATGGTATTATAACAATAGCATTTTTTGCTTTTGGTACGCGCCACCATCTCCCAAGCCTGTGTTCTTGACCAATTCCAGCAATAAGTTGAGTGCCATCCGGAGTAAAACATAACGCATTTACAAACCCAGTTAGATGAATCGAAAATAATGGATTTAATGATTTGAAGACGTCGCCGCATTGCCACAATTTGATACTGCCATTCCGTGATCCTACATTCGATAATTATAATAAACGTTATATCTATAATTAAAATTCCTTTATGAATAGATAAATCATATATTTATAAGGAGATATTTAATACCTGATGCGACTAGATCTGTATTGAGTAAAGTAGCTATACTCGAAATCCACATTGGTTGATTATTACTTTCATCTCTTCCATGTGCGTCCAATACTGAACACAAAGGCTTTTTCTTTAAACAACCCCAAACGCATAATTGTCCATCGTCTCCACAACTAAGAAAATGTTCTTCGTTTATAAGTTTCACGAAATCAATGCTACCACTATGCCCATTGAATATAAGTTGCGATTCTTCTACAATTTTCCAAATTCGAATCGTTCCGTCGAAACCGCCGCTAGTGATAGCGCGTTCTCGCGCAAGCGCGTCAATCGACGTAATACCATTTTGATGTCCAAATCTAATAAAACAACGAAATGTAATTATAACAGAATTGAGCTATATTAAAATAATTCTGACAACAATAATATGCTTACAAAGATTCAACATATGCCATATCGTCTAAATTCCATACTTTAACACTTCTGTCTGCAGAACCAGAATATAAAGTATGTGTATCTTTACGAAAAACTAAACTAGTAACACTATCTCTATGGCCCTGTAAGTTTTTTATATGTTTTAAAGTATTTCCACAAAATACTAGAATATATTTTGAACCACTATCTCCTGCTACCTTTAATCATAAAAAATAAATATTTATATATGCTTATAAATGTAAATATATCGTGAATGAAAGTTTATATAATCTTACCAAAAATTTACCATCAGTACTAATTGTTAAACATTGTACACATTTCATCCCATCCTGTGACTTCTTTTTTCCTTTAACGGTTTCTAATTTCGTTCTATCCTTTAAAGACCCTAATAAACAAAATTCATTTATATAAGATTGTCCTTACAATTTAATGATCTTTTTCCCCTTGAAAATAACATACATTTCACTAAACCACCATCCTTTGAACCAGAATATAAAAATTTTCCATTACTAGAGAGACATAAACATGTAATTGAACTTTTATGTTCTTTACATTTCAGAAAAATTGGTTCATTATAATTGACATAATTTGAAGCGATAGTTTTTCTTAATTTTCCTCTTTCTTCTAAATATTCCTCATGTAATCTTCTTGTTACTGCCCCTTCTTCAAATTCTGCTCTGTCTTTTTCTATATTCATAGAAAATTATATGTTAGAAAGTAAATACATAGAAAAATCATTTTATACAGATTTTACCTTCTTCTTCAATTTGTTGAAGATATTTCTTTGCAAGTCTTACACGCTTCTCCTGAGGAGTTTCTTCTTCTTCTTCGCTTTCATATTCCTCATTTCTGTTATATGCAAAAATTAACTAAAAGAATCATCTAAACTACACAATACAAAATTAAAAAATATATTAAATACCTCTGATTCTCTTCTGCAAGTTCTTCATCTGTACTAGCAATACTTTCATTATCATCAGGTATAGATTTATGCACGTTCTTCTTTTTCTTTGTGTTAATGTGTGTGTGATTATTAAACTATAACATAATTAAATTACTTGTGATTTTTCGTAATAAATTATAAATAAATTCAATTGCATTTCGATATATTAAGAATCAAGTAAATAAAAATGTATATGTATTTTTTATACCTTTCTTTTAATTCCTCCACTACTTTGTTTATTCCGAATAAAAAATGACATAATTATAATGGACTTTTACTTAAATTTCAATTGAATTTTAACCTGTTTCAATCACGTGGAGTGTTTTCTATAAACAAGCACTACCAACAATATAATCAAGAAAGTACCATATTTATTAACTAGTGTAGCAACTGCTACATGAAAAATCACCAGTTAATTGCACTGTGATGTCAGGTCTATTTTGTAGCTAGTCAATGGTTAAATTATTGTATATATGTATTTTAAAATTGTATTATTAATTGTATTAAAATTGTACCATTATAAGTTGATATTTTAATCTTCTATGATTTAATATTTGCACCAAAAGAAATTATGGCTCAAAAGAAAAGAGTACTTATGATTTGCTTAGGTATGTCTTAAAATGTGAATAAATAACAAAAAAGAATTGTATATCATAACAGCTAAAAACATGATTTTTATTTTACAGGAAATATTTGTCGTTCACCAATAGCTGAAGCAGTTTTTAATGATCAAATATATAGATTAGGTTTGAATGAATCATGGGAAGTAGAAAGTGCAGCGCTTATAGGATATCATACAGGTAAAAATCCAGACCATAGAGCTATGTCTACACTAAGAGAAAAGGGTATCACTAACTATTCTCATAAAGCACGACCAGTAAGTGAATTTGTCATTCTACAAAAGTTCATCTGATATTTATATTAATATACTTTATCATTATAGATCACAGAAGATGATTTTGTTAAGTTTGATTGGATATTTGGAATGGATAATAGTAACATTCAAGAATTAAATAGTATGAAACCTAATAATTGCACTGCTAAAATTGAACTTCTTGGAAAATATGATCCACAGGGAGATATCATCATAAGAGATCCTTATTATGTATATAATTATATTAATACAAAATGTTAATTCAAAATTTCTTGACAAGAAATAAATTAATAAAACTTTTATTTACAGGATAGCAATAGTGCTGGATTTCATAAAGCTTATGAGCAATGTGTACGAAGTATAAAAGCTTTTTTGGAACAACATGAAGGTATTGTCAAAAGGTTTATTACACATGTAATAATTCATAAATTAAATTTAGAAAAGTATAATCATAATAAGCTTTTTATTTTTAGATAAAGCTTAGAAACAATTTAAGTGATTGAAATTATTGGAATATCGTGTATATATAAAAATACTTAAAAAGACAATAAACAATTATTACAGGATTAAAGTGTTGATTTGTTGTTACTTATCATTTGCAGGTATTCTATAAAATAAATTCTCAGTTATTCTTTATATACAAAATAAACAATCAATTTCATATTACATTAATATAATATTTATTCTAATTTCTACTAACTTTATACTCGTGAAACTATTTATTTATATGAGTAATAGTTATCTACAACAAAGTATACATATACCTATTTTATTTTACTAGGTTTCTTACATAACCTTGAAAACTGTATAAATATTGTTTTGTACACTGCTTCAAAATTAGTAAATAACATGTCACAAAAAAAGAAAGTGTTAATGGTGTGTTTAGGTATATTAAAAAAACAATAATTATCTATTGAGAGTGATAATATAAGTATATTATTTTTTATTGTACCAATATTAAAATTTCTTAGGAAACAGCTGTCGTTCTCCAATAGCAGAAGCAGTATTTTGGGAGGAAATAAAACAATTGAATCTTCTTGACTATTGGGAAGTAGATAGTGCTGCATTATTACAATATCATGTGGGTAACGGTCCAGAACCTAGAGCTATGTCTACGCTTGAGAAAAGAGGCATTGCATATTATACTCATATAGCAAGACAGGTAATTAATTTTTTTATTTAAAAAATAATATAAAACATCTCCTTAAATTTTCAGGTAACAAAACAAGATTTCTACAAATTTGACTGGATATTTGGAATGGATAGTGGTATAGTTTATGATCTTTGTCAAATGCAACCAAAAGATAGTCAAGCAAAAATTGAACTTCTTGGAAAATATGATCCCAATGGAGAATTAAATATACGAGATCCATTATTTGTATATATCGTTATTAATGTTATTCAATTTTAATATTATTAAAGATTTAGATATTTTTTTATTAAAATAATAGGATAGTAACAGTACTGGATTTGAAAAGGCATTTGAGCAAGCTACAAGAAGCATAAAAATATTTCTAAAACAGCATAAAGGTAATTTTATATATTATATTTCATTTATTAAATTATACAAATAACTTATGATTATTTTTTTACAGATACTGCAAGCACATTATTAAAGTAATTGTGATTGCATTATTATATACAATTAAAAAAAATTGTCTTTATTCATTGTCTCTATGTCAGTTGATAGATATAAAATATCAAGAATATAAATTATTTAACTTTACGCCCACTTACATATACTTCAACAATATTACGATCATCTCCGGAATATATAAATTTTTGAAGTCGTTCTTCTAAGGTACTGCTTTGCAAATTATTCAAAAGTCCATCACTTATGTCTATATCTATAACAAGAGCATCAAATTCTTTACCAACTTCGAAATTTCCTATCTGATTATCCATTGCAAGGGCTAAAAAAATATTAGATTAGAGATTCAATTTGATACAGTAACAATCTTGATTTAACTCTAAGAACATTACCTGCTGCACCTCCTAAAGTTGCCATGTGAAATACATCTTTATAATTAAGTGCCTTATAATTTTCCTTAATTAAGGATAAATGGATTGATACTTGCAAAGCTGATCTTATTGCATCTAAAATACTACAACTCTGTCCACCTGATACATCTACAAGTTAAAATATAAAAATTATTTTATCAAAATGAACTATATATTTATTATGTGATCATTACAAAATTATTAAGTAAAAACAATATCTTTATACCTGTACCAAGACCAATCTTGATGCTTTTGCTTTTTAGTCTTTGAACATCACAAAGACCACTTTTTAAACATGTATTTGATGAAGGACAATGTACAATTGCTGTACCACGTTCATTTAATAATGCAATTTCATCATCTGAAAGATATATTCCATGTGCTAATACTGTCTGAAAATAGACAAAAGTTATTATATTTCTTATATTTTGCATATACTTATTTGACATACTTTACATGTAAGAAGTCCAGCTCCATCATATACAGCTGTATATGATGGATATTCAGGAAACATGTTCTTTACAGCTTCTATTTCATCTAAATTTTCTGATACATGAGTCTGAAATATTTTACATACATACAAAATGTTTTATATGTAAAAAAGCATTATTTTATATAATACCTGTACATGAAGATCTTTTTCTTTTGCTAATTTTCCCAATTTTTTCATTAGTGTCATATCACAGCTTAAAGCAAATCTTGGTGTTATAACTGGTTTTATTAGAGGACTCTACAACAATTATTATATAAATTAATGTTACACAAATTATTATTAAATAAATCAAAATATAAATTATAATTATTGTATAATATTTAAGACTTACATTTAATTTAATCAGATCCTCTATAAATTTATTTATATTTATTATAGACTCTTCAGTAGTTTCATAATAATTATCACTACGTGTTATATTCATACTTATTTTCCCAATTAAAGCACGTTGACCCTTACTAATCACTGTTTGTCCAAGTATTACAGATGCTTTTGGATAGAGAGCTGCAAAATAACATGCTGTCGTTGTTCCACTCTTTATAGTCTGTTTCTATAATTAAAACAATAATATAATTATTATTTGTATAAAATATAATCTAAAAAGTTTTTGTTGTTTTAAATTTACCACAACTGTATTAAATACTTGTTCAGCAAATTTTTCGTCTATATATTTCTTTTCTAGAGGAAAAGTATAATGTTCTAACCACTCTAGAAGTTCTTTATCATATCCAACTCCTAAATTAGGAAGTTGAACTGCATGAATATGACAATCAACAAATCCTGGTATTAAAAATTGAGTGTTGTTAAGAACAATGACATTTTTATTTTTTTCATCATTTGAACTCGGGTTTATTATTATATTGGAGATCTAAACATAAATAAATATATAATTTAACAAATAAAACATTAATATTAAATATATTATGAGACACAAAAATGGAGAAATAAATTAAAAATAAATAAATAAATAAATGGAGAAATAAATTAAAAATAAATAAATATTGACTGATAAATACCTTGCCGTTTTTAACGTGTATCATACCACGATCGATGACAATTAACTCTCCACATTCGTTAGAGTGAATAAACGAACCAATAAATATTTTTTCTTCGGAAGATTGAGACATTGTAAATTTTCTTAATATACCAAATTTACTGCAACTGAAAATATTTAAGAATAAGTTAAATCTTACGCAAAAAAATTACAATTTCTTATATTTTCTTAATAATATTTAATAAGTATGTATATTTTTTTCTTATTTTTTAGTTATTTGTTTATAAATAATTAATATTTTTCAGATAATATGATCACTTATAATACATATAGTAACATAAGAAACATATCGACATAACAAACAAGAAGATAAAATTAATACTGTGTTGAGAGTAAACCAATATTTGTATTTATTTTTTATATACTTACTTTTGTTTATTATACGTAATAAAACAAACATGAGCACGAAGAAAGAACAAAAATCTGAAATTTTGAAAAAATCGGATAAAACAATAGATAGTCATCGAGAATTCTTGGATATGGATACCGATGAAGAAGATTTTGGTCACCAAGGTAAAATAATTTAACATTTTTAAATTTCGGCTAAATTATAAAAGATTAGAAATCTTAAATAAGATTTATTCGCATTAATAAATTGTTGAATTTGTACACATCTCAAAGAAGTATGCAAAACAACTTTAAACATATTGATGATAATTCTAAATTCTATTAAGATATCTATAATGCCCTCCGCAATTAAAAGTACAATTTATATCTAATCTAATTGTATTATATTTCAGAATCACCTGACGCAGATGAAGAACTTGTTCCCTCAGAACCTGAAAAGCCTATATTCTCTGAAAAAGATTTAGTTGCTTTAGTAAGAACGTTAATATATATAACTTCAAATTTTTAACTTTTATAACATGTGTTGGTCGAGGCGGGTTATCAGAATTCATAACAAGATAAAGGATTGCAAAATATACTCTTTTAATATCTATTTTAATATATATATATATATATATATAGACACATAAAAACGTGAATCATATACAATTGATTATTATTATTATTATTATTTACTACTTTTTATTCAATAAGTGCTACTACATTCATTATATCCATTAAATTATACAAAATTATAATGATACAATAGAAGATACTACCAAACTGATATAATTGATACAATAGAAGATACTACAAAACTGATATGTAATTTAAATGAAAAAAGTTACATGATGCGTTAGTACTCTAACGAAAATGTAATTTAATACAATGACACCATCTATGGCGCCATTTTTAAGATCCTTTTACAAAAGTAGAAATACTTGTATATGCTTCATTGAAATGATACTTTTATTTTTAGATGAATTATGTGAAATATTTGACGATACATTCTCAAAATGACATAAGTTGGAACAAACATTCTGATAAAATAATTCAAGAATATTTTAAGAATCCATCATATACAGTATTAACTACATTTTATGATAAAAGTGAATTAAACGCTATGTTGGGTATTCCAATATATGCATCTGAAGGATTTACATATTTCTTAAGATCATCATGGCAAATTTATACTCCAGATAATTTTTTAAAAACCGTTTCATTTGGCAGTATTAGTAATAATATTAAAAATAATACCCTAAAATTCATGGAAAGTATATACGCACCGATTATGCTTCACAACGAAGATTATGCTTCATGTATCCAAATGAAATATCATAATTTTTTATTTTCATAGCAGTAAAATTTTATAATTTTATTTCTATTTGTTATTATTACTTTATTATCTTATACAAAGATAATTTATATTAGAATTACAATTTTCCATAATGAACAGTTTTAAGATGTGATATGTTTTCAAATTTACATGAGTTTATTATACGTCTAATGGAAGAAATTTATAAATCAATGAGTAGAACTATTTTATATGTACCAAAGGAACATCTTCTCCAAACATTTTTAAAGTCCTCGGATACAGACAATTATTTTTTATTAGGTACGAATCAAACGACAATCGTTTCAGAAGAATATGAAAAAAAACGTAAATTAATCCGCAGATTAGAGAAAATAGTTTGGTTTTGGATTAGACAGATACATAGAGCAACGATGACATCAATAAGAAGACAAATTAACAATATACAAGATGAAGTAGATTATTGGAATGCAAAACGTCAGTTTCTCATTAATTAATTTAATTCTATTATATTAACTTATTACACCTTTCCTCGATTAAAAATGTCTATTTGGAATCTTTTATAGATTCAGATTTGAATCATTTACATGCTCAATTTCGTAATACGGAAGTTCAATTGATCATCAACATATTAAAAAACTTATATTCTCCAAGCGCAAGTAAATTACAGGAGTTAACTGTGTATATTGATATAGGATTAGAAGAGGCCCAATCAAATTTGATATATTTAAATATTCTACTTCATTTTTGTAAAAATTTAAATATTCTAGAAGATGTCGAAAACTCTGTAACAGAAGCATTGCTTCTTATATTATTCATTTGGACAGAATCACCATTTTATTCTACAAAGTAAGGAAAATAAGTTATGTTAAAAAAAAAATTTAACAAACATATTTAAAACCGTAATATTTTTAGAATTAATATGGAAATATTATGTCAAGCATTAAGTTCACAGATAATTGAACAATGTAAAAAACATATCAAATTTGACATTGTTCTTGGAAATAATCCTGAAATGGGAATACAGATGCTAAAGAAATGTATATTCTGTTGTAACATTTATAAAACAATTTATGAGGATGTATGTTTTACCCCATTAAATATAGTGCTTCTCTGTATTAACAGTTTATTAGTAATTTATTCAACATTTCTTGCAGATTATGATACATGTAACATCTTATATTAATCCGGATAAAAAATGGGACATAAATCAGCAAGAAGTTTTTAGTAAAATTGATATTTTTAAACAGAGATGCTGTGATGTCATTGAAATTTCTAAAGTTTTAACAGTATTCGGAAGGTATTTGAAAAAAGAGGAAAACAAATATAAATAAGATAGAAATTAATTCTTATTTTTATTAATTTAATAGAAATACTAAAATAGGATTAATTGGAGGTCCAAACGGAAGCGAATTTGAAGCGTATTTGCGGGAAATTGAATCTTTATTTTACGAAAGTTTAAATGAAATTATAATGGCACATGACATCGTATTCGATGTTACGAGACCTATTTGGTTTCTAAAGATTAAACAATTTAGATATACAGTTTTGCAATTAGAAAATATGGTAATAAATTTAATTAATGATATATTTACGAGCATAAGAAATATAGAAGAAGGTATCGAGACAATTTATGCTTTACAAAAATTTAAAAAAAGAGAAAATTTACGAGAATTATTGCAAAAAAAATGGATACAGGTATATATTGATATTGTACGTATTGACTGGCCTCCAAAAAAAATTATTTAATAATAAAAAAAATTTTAGATATGGAAAATATTTAGTAATGAAATCGAATACTGTTATATTAATGCAATTAATCAGTCAAAAAAGGAAATTAGTGTTAACATAAATTTATTATGCATTTTACAATACTTAAAAAAACAGCATTCTATAATCACAAATGCAGTAGACTGGATAGGAGATTGTGATTTTGAAAAGTAAGTAAAAAAACATAAATTATTTAAACAGATTTATTGAAATGATAGATTTCCTTCTTTAATGAATAATTTGTTATTCATTTCTGCTAACATCTTTTTTTATATTTTTTTTCTACAATTCATATTTCTAAAAAGGACGTATCATGCATGATTTCAGGTGTGTTTTACAACAATATGAACATGTATTAAATGTAATTGACAAGCGAAGTAAGATGCTTAAGAGTTACAGTATAAGTAAAACGCAGTAATGCAAAGTTTTATGTTATTAAAACTACGATAGAAGGTAAAAATAATGTCATTTTGAAAAAAGAAATAATGAAGAAATTGATTATAAAAATTTCGTGTCACTGCATTATCAAAATAATGATATTGCTATACTTTTGGACGGGGTACTGTACTTGTCATTTTTTCACACATATATATCTTTTTATTTTAGATTTAAAATGAATAAATTTAACCAATGAAATTAAATTTAAACATTAACTAATCCATTTCACATAATATGGAATGTTTATCTGCTTATTTGATACGAAATATTTATATTAATATTATTAGTTATTAATATTCATTCTGAATTTGTGGTAGACTTATAAATACATCATTAATACTTTTCAGGATTAAGGAATAATTTCATTCTACATTTTTTTTTGTTTAAAATCTTAAGTAATATAGCATACATAAATCTTTCGAACATTTGCGTTATATGAATTCCTTTTTATCAATCATCCTGCCTTTTTTTAATAGTGTAAAAATAAGATTTATAATATAATCGGCATAGGATGAAAGAGAAATCTTAGATGGCACTTTACATATTGTGAGGTATTTGAACAGTAACTAAAGTAAATATTATACTTTAGTAATTTACTATATAACAACGAATTCAGACAGGTAATAATCAGAAATAATAATAAATTACATTTTGTTAAATTATTATAAAAATCTTTTGAATAACATATTGCAATTAATATCACATAAAATAAAAAATATGAAATTACAATGTCAGAACATTTATATATATATACATATATATATATACATATATAATCTTTTAATTTATTTCTAGAGAAAATGGGTGTATCTTCTGTATTAAAACTAATTAACTTTGGGAATTTTTAATATTAAATAACGTTCATATAATCATGTGTATAGCAATTCTCAGTTTCTTATTTACTATTATATTTTAAATTGAAACATTTTAAGTAATGTTTAAAGATAAATCAAAATAATTACTATTAGATTTTTTTTATACATAAATTTTTATATCGAATATGATGAAACTTGCAAACATTGAATTATTTAATTTTTGAAATTTGGATACTATTCTCGAATAATTTACCTATATTTAGGCACGACATTCATACTTTCATTTCCTAATATGCTATTAATATCTTTAATTACATTCTGTGGTCCCTTACGCAAGTTTGAACGACTAAATGTGAAAAATAGATGTAATAATATGTTAGACACATAATATGTTTCTCTATCTTCTTAAGATACATATACTGCATTTATATTTTAATGTTTCCCAAAGTTATAGTAGTTACACAGAACATGCACGTGATATATATTATATTTCTTTATATATAACAAAACATATTTAAAAAATAAAAAATAAAATACAATTAACAAGTATTTTTGGATATAATTTATCAATGACAATGTATATAGGGTAATCTATGCAATTAATACTTCTCTGTATTACTAATTACATAAAATATATAAATTACATATAAAAATGCTTTTAAAAGAAGTAAATTACTTTTGTAAATGAAGCAAAATAATATATTAAGTACTATCAACAAATATAAAAATATGTATAACTGTATCTCTATTTATATATGTAATAAATTTTGTAACAAGTTCTCTATTAACAAATTTCCTTTTTTTCTAAAACTCATATTATGACTATAATGAAGACTATGAAATATAATTATTACTAAACCCAGTAATAAACCCATCGTCATCAATGTTCTGATGGTATTACTTAATGACGTAATTTTCTAGAAAAAATAGATGTCAACTTTTTTCGCGACTTATTTAATATGATACAATACAATTTCCAACAATATTAAAAATATATAAAAATATTTCTATTAGTATTATTGATTATATCTTTAAAACAATATAGTAAGAATAGAATAGCACCATTTGTAAGTTCATTAAACTTTTGCAGTTAAAACTAGTTGTATGTTATATTGAGCTGTGTTAAGTTGGAAATCTCAACATAGATTACCCTATAATCATTTATGCATCTTTACTTAGGAACTATTATAAAATTTATATATATAAATATTTTATATACATGTACATGATATTTGTACATGTACGTTCATTTTTTTAAATTTTGATTATCGTGCTATAATCGATGCTATAATCTATTTTTTATTTAGAGAATTAGAACTCTTTTGGCACAAGTAATTTAAATAATAGTACGTATTTGGTTTGTTTTTATATTACTTATTTTTACTGTAATTTTCAATTTGACGCAATTACCAGATTTTCTTGACCACTTGTTACTTTGAAAATTGGACTGCCCGATGGGTCTTTATAATCAAGTAATTCACTATCGTTGCTAAATGAGCTTGTACCTGAAGAATCAATTTGTTCTAATCGTGATGGCGGTAAAAGAAATATCAATGAGATCGCTATTATTATATGCCAAGCACTATGAACATACTGCAAAAAAATACAAGTATTTTTATAATAATAAAAATAATTTTTTATATTTCTTAATATTTTATAATTTATATTGTATATACCTGATAATTGGCTTCTGTTTCAACTAACGAAAAGATCAATAAACCTACAATCGCCAATGTTAAGCCTGCTAATAACTTTGAAATTCTATTAGGTCTTTTCAACTTTTTTAAATGAAAACAACGATAAGCATATGCCCCCATCTGAAAATATATAAAAAAACATATAAAAGAAATAATACTATTATAAATATTTCTTCTAAATTACTTACTGGAATCATAATGCCCATCCCCAAAGGTACTAAAATACTGGTTAGACTTGTTTTATTGGATTCAACGCCAAAAGCTATAATAAGAACTCCAAACATATGACACAATGATACAAAACGAATTGGTATTTCAGCCATTGCAACAAGTGTTACCCAAAATGCTAATATACTTGAAAAAAAGTCACTGTATTGTAAAACCTGAAATAAATTTCATATAAAGCTATTTCGTGGAAGAAAGTAAGTGTTATAAAACAATTTACATACTTCATATTTAGCAATACAATAAGTCATAACATGTTGATCACAAGCATGGTACAGAGATGAAAAGAGCATAGTTGCCAAATAGACTAATCCCTCAGTATATAATCCGCGCTTAATAGCTAAATATATAGCAGGTATGAAAAAACCATTACTTAAAGTGAGTATCAATGTTGTTATAAGAACAGAAGATTCTGGATTGGCACTAGTAGCATCAGTGCATCCCCATCCTTTGTATCCTGTATAATAAGATATATCAATATGGTAAAAAAATCTATGTATAAATAATAGTTATTCTAGCAATCAGACCTTCAAAACATTTGCATGTTGTATAATAAAGAATATCACGATGAACTTCTTGACAAATTCCATGGTGACCACATGGATAATTTCCAGCAAACACACATTGTCTAGTTCGTATATCCAGTGATACTAAAATTTCTTCCATTTCACAATTTACGGATCTTCTATTTAATTAATAATATCATCATTTTATATGCATAATTTAATTATAATTTTAGTATTTTGAATTCATATTTTCAAAAATATGATCTTACCCATTAAAATAACATGTTGCATCTAAAGTAACATACCAAGTGTCTGGCTGTGGATATGGTATCAATAAAGTTCCATCATGTTTGTCGAACGAAGATAAAATCATCGACATTTTGGAATTTTTACATATAATATTATTTTTAATTTTTTTAGGAATTCGTCCACGTTGAACGCAAAGTACAACTTTTACTAACTGTCGTGTTGCTACCTGTATATAAGAAATTTAATAATATATAAAATTAATCCTAATACAAGAGTCTACAAGAGTCTTAATCATTGCTGCTTACTTTATCCATTTCCAAATGTGCACTTATATCAAGAGTACCACCAATATCAACTAATGGCAAAATATCAAACTGTGTAATTACTGGATGCACATCAGTTAACATCACCCAAGAAGTTAACCATTCTCTACCCTGAAAAACGAATTTTTACACGTATATGTTTAAAAATTAATATATTGTATATTTATTTCTTATACTTATACTTATTAAATGCTTGATACCTGTAGTAAGTAGACTCCTGAAAATGTTTGTGAGTGCTTAATTCTAGCAAGTTGATATCTTGGGACACATGGATCATCAAAATTTTCATCTAATGTGCCAAACTGATTTTTCATAACATCACTTTCATTATAAAATGATTCATTGTATTTATCTTCATCATGATGCAAATGATGTTTTGTTAAATCTTTCATATGCAATTGAGCTAATGCTTTAGAAAATGAAGGTGCATCTAAATATTGCCTTACAAAAGATTTTTCTGTTATCCTGATTGGACATTCTGAAAAATAAGATAAGGTAAAACTAACTTATTAATTAAATAAAAAAGAATTACATAATAAAATTTACCTGAGGTTACTACTTTCACATTTACTTCAATAATACTATCTGAAATAATCATCAAATAATAATAACTATCTTCATAAGGGGAAGTCTCTGTAAAGGTATATGAATCTAACATAGTTAGATTTCCAATTTTAGTTGATTCAGAGTGATTGAAAACAGGTAAAGAACGTCCTTGTAAAGCCATATTTTTGATACAAAGTTCATGTACATTATGAGATTTATGCACAGTAAAGTTACAACCCCAAATATCTACACGAAAATTCCATGTCCCTGATGGGATATATATCCTAAATGAGAATGCAACATGTTAGTTATACTCGATCTTCATAAAAGATTGAACATAATAATTACTTGTAATAAGAAGTAGCTTCTTTTGTTCTTAATGTTTGTTGGTAACCAATAGGAATATTTTCAATACTATTGATTTGTGTCCATACAGCTACAGAACCTATACTATAATGGCATTTATGGCCAAGTCCCTAAAGTATAAACAATTATAGAATTAATATAAATTAATTTGGAAGGAAAAAAAAACATTGGAGGAAAGATAAAAATCAAGATCTATACCTGTTGTTGAACCTTTTCATCCCAATGAGACAAATAAGCTCCTACAAACCAATCTCCAGCTTCTGGTCCATAAACTGGTACAACTCCAGTGGTTTTTGGTTCAAATGTTGTAACTGCAGAAACTATAATGGTATGATTACGCTTATGATACATATCATTGGGAAATGTATCATTATTTATAGATATCACAGGGTAACTGCCCCATTGCAGGTATCTAAAAATTATAATAGTAAAAATAGATATATTATGAATCTTTATACATATGTTCATGAAATCAAAAATGAATATTTACATATGTACTTTTCTTTCTGGGCATTCTTGCCCATCCATAAATGCTGCAAACTGCCAAGTAGCTCTGAGTACTTCTTTTGGAACTGTATAATGAAACATAACTATATCTGAATAACTTTTGAATGAATGTAGTAATCCTTCTTGACTTGCTTCTGGCATAGTACATTCTTTAGCTACAAATATAAATTATTTGTACGTCCTATGTTAAATACAAATCTATTTACACAATGATCAAAATTGCAATATTTATCATGCTTGAATGAATGTTAACAAAATGAATTTAAACAAAAAATGTAATACTACTTCAAAATTGTTGAAAAATACAAATATATCAGAAAAAATAAATATTCAATTTCATAGACAGAAAAATTTGTTTATAAATTTACCTGGAAAAAGTAACAAGATTAAAAGGACGTGAAATTGAAGAATCATGAGATATCGTCTTGAAAAATAACATATCGGAAGCATGATAATTTTTTTCGACATCACTGAAAAATGGATATTTCTTTCGATCGGATGTCTCCATTCACTTCTTATTAATTATCCATCATTTTCTCATTCCTATGTTGACTGTACATTTTGCACACACAGTAAATAACTGCGACTAAACCGCAATATTTGCGTGTTTAGTCTAACAACTTATATGGGTTTCCTTCGATCAGCTGTAGTAGACGATGTATATATACATAAATAGCAAAGGGTGGAATGGATGTAAACGACACTGATCTTACCGACCACCTAATAGGAATACCGCGATATTTTAAACATTTCAAAGTATTAATTTTGTGCAAACGAAATGTACAATAAAAGTGGTAAGAATACATAAAATATAGACGCGAGGTGAACAAAAATATAATTATGATAGCAAAGGGATAAGAAGTAAAAAGAGGTAAATTGCTTTGACATAACATGTTTTTAGAATACAATTACAAAACTTTTTTTCAACATGTTCTAATTAATATTTACACATTTATAATATTATATACATATAATATATGAACACTTTTATATAAATCACATAAAAAATATCTCTTTCACGCTTCTACTTTCCAGAAGATTAAATCTCGATATCTTCTTCGGCGGCAGGTAAAACCACTGCCGTCACAGCTACTGGCTTCGTTTTCGATTTTTTACACAGTAAAATCTCTACCCTTCCCGATATTCTACTCTTCAAAATCGCATTGAGGACTATAGGAATCGGAATACCGCTCGGTAACAGAGGTACATCCATCACCCGTGGTTTTACATTCGTGTTCTCGGTTCTGCAAACGATATACAAATCCGTGTCGGACAATTCATCCGATATATTCGTCAATAAAATACGAATTTGGTAATTCGGTCCCAATCCTAAAACCGTAGCTTCCATGGTAAGAGGATGTGGTCCCGCGCCTTGACTGTCGTTCAAAGTTTCGACTACTTTTTTGGCAACCACCAATCTCAGTCGAAGAAGACCTTGCTGAAAAGTAGAATGGATTTTCTTCGCTTCCGATCTTTCTCGTATCGTTTGCTCAACGAACAGTCGTGTTTTTTTTGGTACTAAAAATTTGGAGCCATCATTTAAGGGTAAATTAGATATCGCATTGTGAATGCTGAAGTCTGCGGTCCGTTTCAAAATTTTTACACAGAGTCCGCCCCCCACGGTGACCATTGCCATCGTACGTTCTTCTTGACCCATTTTACCATACTGTTTTTAGAAGAAAAAATACAATATTTTTATATTATTGGGATTTAGTTTAGAAAAATAACACTTGTAATAATATTTGTAATTTACCTTCATCGCAGAAACTGGTTCCATAATTTTTAACGTGTCCACGTGATGTTTTCCATCATACACGCGAATACCATAACCAGCTGTACTCACAGCGAGCAAAGAAAGTCCAGTTTGCGGAACTGGTAAACTTACCGAATCCAAAATCGCACCGGGAACACGAACATGCCATATTTTAATTCCCTATATGATTCATATATTATTATTTATTATAGTTTGTCTAAAAATATTATGCGTACCTTACTGGAAAAACCGATTAAAGTACCATCCATGATAGTAACCGCGATGCCTTCATTATTCAGGGGCGAAACAGCTACAGCAGGTGATGGTAATTTTTCCCAAAGTTTCACAGGACTTCCTCTTTTTATCACTCCTATTTTACCATCTCTTCCAACAATTAATATTTTTCCATCGCCGGTCCATAAACCTGTACACGCAAAAGCGACTGGCGACCATTCTAATAGATGTTTATCCATAACAGAAAACGTTCTGAAACAGACATATCGCAAGAAGCATTTAATTTTATAATTTTCAATTATTCATATAGAATATTATGTCGTCAAGGAAAGAAGTTTTACCGTGGATCTAAAATAAGTAGTTCTCCGAATTCCGTGCCCAGCACGAGACAACTACTCGCTGGATCGTTCCACGAGTCCCTTCGAATCACGGAAATCGCAGTTAAAGCGTTGCTTTTAACCAGTGGGATTCTTTTGTATTGTTCCGCAAAGCTAGCTCTCAAATTCGGATCCATGGACAGAAATTTCAATGTTCGCGGCGAGATAAATCCCGCTCCAAGTTCCTTTAACAATAAATCTAGTTCATCAGCTAGCGTTAATACATTCAATTCTTCGTCCAATCCAGCTTTGTGCCAAATCTATTAACAAATTTATTCTTATAATTCAAAATGAAAGAAAATGAAACTTAATGTTATAACTCAGAATTATTTATACCTCTCGTTCCTTTGGATGTACGTCAATATGCGGCAAACAGTATTTAAAATACGGTCTCATATTTTTAAAGATGTAGACGCTAGAACCAACACCCACCGCCAAAACGGACGACTGAGGTTCTCCATTTTCTGTATAAAAACCAACAACTCCACAGGGTGGATCTACCATGTTGTGTTCCGTTATTTGGTCACCTCCTTTGTAAACTCGTATCTAAAAACGAGATAACAATTACCCACTGATAAACGGATAAAAATTAGAATAGAAGAAATTCTATTTCATTACTTTAGGCGAATTGACATTGAGTGTCCCTAAGTCAGCACAGACTAATCTAGCATCTCCATCACCGCTCACGTCAAGCATATCAAGTGCATTTGGTAAAGTGTATAATCGGGCTGCTGGTTCCCAAAGCGCTTCCAACCATCGGCTGGTTCCAAGACCGCCAATGTTATGATCGGCTCTGAAAATTGCGTAAAAGAATAAAAGGTGCACTTACAATTAAAAAGTATTTTTTCTTACCGTAAACCGTGCATATTCGAGGATCCTTTTTAATGTTTTAGACAAACCGTTATTTTTAATTGAAAGGCATCATTAGTGTTTCTACCTAAACGTCTGCCATATGGATTCTATGCACCGTACTATAGTGCAGCGTAACAGATCAATGTCATATTGTCATTAATATGTTGAATTTTTTAAAAGAATTCTTTTTCCGAATGAGTC